TCCTGACCAGATCCTTCAGCGGTAGCTCCCACACCTCCCCAGTCCCAGCGCAGCCCGCCAGCCAGCTACCTGTTGGTGACGAAGCTGTTGCTGACGCTCTCCACGTCGCCTAGCCCCGAGCTGCGCAGCAGCCGGTTCTTGCTGGTGTCGAGGGGCAGCAGCAGGTAGCTCATGCGGTTGGCGTAGTGGATGGCCTGGCTGAAGACCGTGCTCTCCTCCTTCTGGATCAGCTCCTGCTGCTTCTCCCGGCTCATGGTAGGCCACAGCCTCCGCTGCTCCGACGCAATCTCCAGGGCAGATTTCTCTTCCTGAGGCCCCTCCTAATGGAGCAGGGGGACAGATCAGCCCTTTGCCCGAGCAGGAAACCCGTGTGCCAGCTCCCACCCCGCAGGGTCTGCAACAAAGCACCTGCTCTCATCAGGGCCTTCTACCCCCATCTCTCCCCAGGAGCCCCAAGCCAGGTCATATCCCAGACCCCCTGCCTTCAGGCCAGTTCTTGCCTCCTCACTAGCTACGAGGAAGGCTGGGCCAGGACGGCCTGGGACTGGTATTCCTGCCGCCCCATCACCTCATCCACGTGATTCTCCTCATTGCTCTCCAGGTACAGGGCTCGGATGTGGTTCTGCACGTCGCAGTAGAACATGGCCTCCCAGAACTGGATGTTGGTCCACACGACGTGTTCCTGCACACAGCTGTAGGCAAACTGCGTGATGCCCGGGCTCAGTTTCTGGGGGGCAGAGAGAAGAGAGGGTCTCAGTGCAGATGCCTCCTGTATGCCAGCCCCTCCAGGTCACCCATGCTGTGCTCTAGCTGGAAAAGGCAGTGCCCTTGGCCAGCCAGTGGCACCACATACACTGAGCCCCCTCCCTGCACAAAGTAACTCTGCACTGACTGCTCCTTCCGCATGCCCAATTAATGCCACAGCAAACCACCTCTGCTGTCGGGGAGCAAACACTGAGCTCTGCTCCTGCGAGACTGAGGGACTCAAGGTCAACGCTCCCTGGCCTTTGTGATCCAGCTGTCTGAGCACCCTGCAGCTGGGTGCCACAGCCCTGGTCTCAAGCCCAGAGATGAGCAGCGCCTGAGAGAGGCCCAGCCACGGCTGCTATGTCTCCCTGACAGGGAGCCCCTGCTGCCACAGAGGGTCTGGCTACACTGCAATGAAAAACCCACTGCTGGCCCATGCCAGCTGACTCGGGCTTGTGGGGGAGACTTCTGAGCTCTGGGCCCCTCCCACCTCGCAGGGTCCTAGAGCCCGTACTCCAGCCCGAGCCGGAAGTGTACACAGCAATAAAACAGCCCCTCAGCCCAAGCCCCGTGAGCCCGGCTGGCGCGGGTTTTTGACTGCATTGTAGCTGTACCCAAAGTGGCTACCCCTGGGCGGGAGGAACTAGGCCAGTGGCTGCAGAGCCGACATCTCTCCTCACACCACAGCCTTGCAAGGCCTCTCAGACCTGTTGAAGTCAAAAGGGTTTTGGGCCCAACAGGACCGAGGCAGGAGGCAGAGTGGAGCCTCCACACCTGCCTGTGCTCCGGCCCCTGCGGAGTGACCCCCCCAGAGACCAGCCCCTGCACTGGCACAGCTCAGTGGTGCTCTCTGCAGTCATTCCGTAGTTACAGCCAGGCAGACACGAGGCCCTTCTGCCAGGATCCGCAGCCTGCACCAGCCTGCACCGGATACGTACTCGGCAGAAAGCAGTGACTAGTGGCAAAAGTGCTGCTGCGATCCCATGCTCATCCATGGCAGTGCAGTCCTGGGGCAGGGAGAGAGAGAAGAGATTAGCACAGTGCCCTGGAGAAAGGGGCATTCACTATAAGGCCCCCAGAACTACAGACCCCCAAACCTCATCCCCACAGCTCTGGAGAGGGGTTAACTGGCATTCACCACAGGGCTCCCAGAGCTGTAGACTTCCACCCACACTCCGCCTCAAGTACCCTCCAGGACAGAGCTGTGCCGGCTTCTCCAGCATCCCGGAGAGGACCCCGTTCACATGGCATCAGCCCCCCGAAGGAATCCAAGGGTGTGACTGCAGCAGCCCTGGTGAACCCTCGTCCCGCTGCGGCTCCAGCCAGCCCCTTGGCACGGTACCTGTAAACAGCAGTTCATCACGCGGACAATGAAGTCAAATTGTTGGTGGTCCAGTACAGCCCTGTTCTGCTGCACATGCAGGTTCAACTCCTGAGTCAGGCAGTGTCTGGCTGCTCGGCCCTTCATGGCCCTTAGCACAGCTGGAAGCAGCTGCAGGAGGAAGAGCAGAGGGTAGAGCGATAGGACCAAGCTTCCAGTCCAGGCCCTGCTGAGGATTACAGGCTGGAGGGCAGTTGGTAGCAACTGGCGATGGACGTAGGATATAGAGTGCCCGCTGCAAGGCCTGATGCTTTGGAAACTCACAGACTACCCTGGGGTAGTCAGCACAGCCAGAGGTGACACACTGAGCCCCCGGTGCCGCAATGACCCACACTGCAAACCCACACCCTGGAAAGTCAAATGCAGCCGCACAGAACACTCACTGCCCGCTGCTGGGAAGGCTCCCAGGGAGCCCAGCCCCTGTTTTGGCCATCTCCACAGGACAGTCCCAGGTGGGGGCAGACACAGACAGTGGCCACAGCATCCCAGATTTGCCAGCCCACACTGGTGAAATGTGGCAGTTAGCCAGGCTCCGTGGCACGATGGGCAAGAGGCGTGCTGACGAAGAGCATGTGAGGCGGTGGGGGGCAGCCTAGGCAGATGGAGGACTGGACACAGGCAGGAAGCTCTCTCCTCTAAGCGTCTGTGTGATGGGACGGCAGAGACATAGAGCAGCCAGGGGCTGGGTGTCCTGTCTCTCCGCACACCCGCCCCTTTACCACCGGCTCTCTGGGCCCTCACCTTTTTGGCTTCTAGCATCTTGTTCTCGAAGACGTAGGAGATGCAGTTCCTGACCACCTCCAGGCGGCGGGCACTGTTGGCCAGAGCGCTGCCATTGCGCTCCATGATGGCAGCTGGGGAGAAAAGCCACCAGTCACTACACTGCAGGAGCGGGTGAGGGAAGCTGGCCTGTTCCCCTGAGGGAGGCAAGCCGCACAGCCAGCCCATCTCTTTGTCCTGCTCTGGGAGGGCAGGGGCTGTGTGTTTGACACGCCCACGTGGGTCTCCCCTGCTCCCTCTCCAGCGGATAGCACGGCCCAATTGGCTACGGTGGAGATGAGCGGCCTCAGCGGCACAGATCCCCAGGGGACATGATTCCTGATTCCATGGACTCGGCCTAGCGGTAAAGGGCAAGGGGGATACAGGAAATGGGAACACTGGCCCTCCGGTGCCTTCCGTCCCTGGGGTGCCCAGGACTTCACAGCCAGCAATTCAATAACCCCTGGAGTGCTGGGCAGCAGCCCAATTTCACAGCTAGGCAAACTGAGGCACGAAGAGGTACAGTGGCTTGCCACAGGGCATGACGAGTCAGAGGCCTAGCCAGGAACAGGCCCCAGCAGTCCTGGCTCCCCGCTCCCACTCTAACACACAAAGCACGTTGTTTCGGAAGCGAATAGAGCTGAGCAACCACCAGTAGAGACGCAGAGCGAGCTGCTCGCCTCCCCAAGCAATGCTGGCCCCGCAGATCTAGGTTCACCCTTTCAGAAGAGTCCACTGACTTTGGGTGCCCAATTCAAGGCACTTTGGGCTGGACTGTCTGAGGGGGCTGCATTGGGAGCTGTGGGTGCATCTCCAGCGAGGCACACAAAAGGAGCACTCTCCCAAATTCGGGCCTAGCCCCCCATCTCACCTGAAAGGCTCCCTGTGGGCATGAGCAGCTCCAGCACATGGTTAACCACCCCCCAGCTCACGGCTAAGCCTCTGGGCTGACAATGGGGCCACACCCCAACCTCCACCTTCCCCGCCTCAGCTCATGGCTACGGGGAATCCCAGCCACACGTAAGAACCATCTCTCCAGCCCTTCCTCGCTGACGGACCCTGCAGCCTTCTCCACCCCAGGCCACAGCAGGCTTTGAAATCCAACCAAGCTGCCAGCGGTGAGGCCAGTGGTGCCCATACTGGGCTGTGAGCCTGGCAGTGCTGAGGCAAAGCTCCGCCTTCGCGTGGCCCTTTACCGTGAGGCTGTGCTCCTCCTGGGAGACATACCAATGGGGGGTCCCGATGGCACCATACACTTCTTCTCCGCCTTCACAGCCGGCGGGGCTGTCTGCAGCTTGGCAGTGGCCTGGTCGATGATCCACTGGACTGTCCCCTCGTCCAAGCGGGGAAAAGGCCTCTGGTGTAGACGCAGGTAGCAGCCTTCTGTGGGCTTCTGCACCTTGTGCATCGTCACTGCGGGGTATGGGTTCTCCTATTCCAGCAAGGGGAACCGGTTACTCTCCAGGACAGACCTGCCATGCTGTGTCCCTGGGGAACTGCACCCGGCGCCAAGGCCAAGCCCTTCCCACACGTTACAAACCAGGAGCCCTCCAGCACCAGGCGCAGAGTACCCGGCTCAGGCCCAGCTGGACTATGCTCTCCGGAGCCACGGAGACAGTGACCACCCACGTACACGTGGGGCTGGGAGAGCCTGGACATGCTGGGCAGGTCGGGGACTCAGCCCTCTGCAGCAGGGCAGTGCCCTGGCAAGTCTAACAGTGACCCTGGGCCATAGAGGGCAGTGCTGTCATGCTCCAGAGGCAGTCTCAGCAGAGCGCCCTCGGTCTGAAGGCTGGAGGGGTGGATGGCCAGATCCTCCAGACCAGTTGGGACACACGGGGGAGGAATTACTCTGAACACCCCCCACGCCCACCCATGCATGCAGAGTCCCTCCAAACCAGAGAGAACCAGGCAGGCAATGGGTTGACAATTCAAACCACAAGGCCACATTCCGCCTGGGCCAGCTCCAAGAACGGTCACCGATCTAACCCCTCTGCCACCTCCAGCTGTGGCCGGCAGACGAGGGTTGAGGCATAGGGCTAGAACGTACCCCAAGGAGAAGAGGCTCCCACACTGGGCATGCAGCACCAGAGGTGAAGGGAGAATGGCACCTCCTTCAGTGGGGGCCCCTGACCCTAATCAGAGGGAGGCTTTGCCCCCGTGCCAGGCTCCCACCTCCACCTTATTCCCACCCCCAGACACCCCACTTGCCCTGCCCACCCCACAGCCCGGCCCTCGGCACTTACGTTTTTATAGAGCTGCTCTGCCAGCTCCTTGATGTGCCGCAGTATTTTCTGCTTGTTCCCCTCCTCGGCACGCATCCGCTTCACTTCATGGGCGACCAGCTGAGGGTGGAGAAGAGGCATGAGGGGCAGCCTCCTGCGTGGGAGCTCGGGTGCCGTGTTGGCTGTGCTCCTTAGTGCCAGGGCTGCCCCAGCTCAGGCTGTTCCTCGGCTGCTCCCGGCCCATGCGGAGCGCTGCAGCCAGCAGGCCGAGGCTGCTCCCCGGACGTCTTTGGCTCACGCCTCAGTCCCTCGGAGGGGAAAGCAAGAGCTCAGACATGCTCTGCGGCCTTTGGTTATTTACTGAAGGCTGTCAGTGCCAGAGACGGAGACGTGCAGGGCTACCAACCAGGGAAGGGGGGAGTTGCCCGCAAATCACCTCTTACCTCATCAAACAGGTCAATTGCTCGGTATGGGGCACCCCTCTCGGTCACAAAGCCAGCGAACGCCATGCCCTCCAGGACCTTGGTGAGGAAGTCATCCTCCACCAGCCCCCTCTGACCGAGGAAGGCTGCCTACAAGAAGGAACAGCAGGCAGCCATTAGCCGCGGACTGGCCTGAGTCTCAGAGCCAGCCAGACATGGCACCACGCTATCACCATAATGGGTCACGGGCTCTCAGGTCACGAGGTGGAAAAGAACAGGAGCCAATGGTGGCAGCCCCCAACCTTCCAGACAACAGCCCCATGCTGGGGGAACTAGCAGGATGTGCGCACAGCCATGAGCCTTCCTTTCCCCAAGCCCGCTTGTAATGCGGTGTCTATTTCAGACCCAGACCCTTGGGCAGGGCTTTATTTGCCCATAAAGTACCAGATGGTGCTGTATAAATGCCCCCCTGAATATTTCCCCCTCTTCACAGCCCTGAGGAGTGGGTCAGAATTAGATTCATTTACAGACAGGGAAGCCCAGCGAGAGAGAGAGAGATACGGATTAGAACCTGGGGTCACAGCAGTGCATGTCAGAGCCAGAGCTCAGGAGTTCCTGGTCCCAAGGCCCCTACTCACAATGCTGCACTCCTCAACCCAACAGCTCTCCAAGGCCTTTACAGCCATCCACGTACAGACACTAGTTCAAATACGGCCGCCTCTGGGATGGAACCCAGGACAGCAGCGTGGTTTGAGACTGGAGCAATGCTGTATCCGATGAACTCCAGGGGGAGTGCAGGGGACAGAATGGAATACACCCGGGACACCAAGGCTGGAGTGGTCAGTTTCACATCTCATGCAGTAGACAGCCTCTCTAACAGCACAGCACCCCCCTCCCGATCCCTCCCTTCACGTTGCACGGAGGAGCACACTGACTCAGGGCTTGTCCAGCCAGGGAGGTTTTTGTGGAATAACTAATCTGAAATAAGTGTGTCCACACAGCCGGCTGTATCCGAATTCCTCAGGAATCAGTGCATTCACATGGCACTGTGTTTTTTGTTTTGCTTTTGAAATAAGCATACAACGTTCTGGGAGGGTATTCCATGGTGCATTGCGCAGCTGCTGGGCTCTGGGCAGTCTGGGATTTTTATCGCAGGGCATTGTGAAGCCACTGGAATTCTGGAACTTGGAAGCAAAGGAGCAAATTCCCATGGTTCCTCTCTTGGCATCCCATGATTCATCTGTCCCTTGTGAGCCAGCGCCGTTTTCAAACTGTCATCAGCTGGCATGGAGGGAACACTGCTGCCTGCAGCCATCCTGACTGCCGTTAATACACACAGGTTGTCCCATTTGCATTCGTGGTCCAGCAGCTGGATGACTTTAGGAGTCAGCCAATCTCGGGAGAGGAGTGGTGGAGGATGAAATCAAACAGCTGCTTGTGGATGGCCATTTCCTGGACCAGCTTCTCTCAGGATGCCGTTTCTGGGCTCAGGAAACGAGCCCCGACAGCTGGGAAAGGGCAGTGATGTGGAGTGGCAGCAGGATTTCAGGATGACAAAGGCCACTTTCCTAGAGATCTGTGCAGAGCTCACCCTGGAGCCACGGCACGCTGACCTGGAGAAGCATGTGACCATTTGCTCACCGCCTCCAACTTCATGTCGGTAGCTGACCAGTTGGGTGCTGGCAGATCAACTGTTGGGGCGGTTGTCAGGGATGGACGCATTGCTAGAGAGGGCATTGATGTCCAGGGTCAAACACACAGGAAGTTACCAGTGGATTTGCATTGTTGGGGTTCCCAAATTGTATTGGGGCCACCAGCGGGACCCATGTGCCTATTCTTTGCCCCCCACATCAGACCTCAGAGTTCATCAATAGAAAAGGGTATTTCTCCATGGCTGTTTGCTGTGGGAGGTTCATCAGTATTAATACACCGTGGGGGGGGGGGGGGGGGGATGAAGAGAGAGAGAGAGTCTGGAAAGGTCCGTGGTGCCAAGATCCTTAGAAACTAAGCCCTGTTTTCTTCAATGACAAAGGGTACCTTTGCTCCCAGGACCGCTATGGGCATTAGTGGTGCTGTGATTCCCAACGTCATCCTGGGAGACTCCGCTGCAGAGGGACAACAGAGCATGCGTTTGGAAGGCTAAGAGAAGTGCAGGAGCCTGGTGATGAGGCTGGAGACTGGTGAGAGAGCTGCTTGCTGTATTTTGCCTGAGAGGGTAAGAGAAAGCACCTCACTGATGGGTGGGAGGCGAATGGGCAGAGACCTCCGGAAAGTTACAGCCTGAGAGGCTGCTTCTGCAAACCTGCACATCATCAGGCCACGGGGGCAGGTTGCCCAGTGTGCCTCCTTCAAGACTAGGAGTTCAGATGTTGAAATGCACCGGGTACACAGTGCGTTAGTCACTGGCAGGATGGTATGAAATGGAAGTTTACTGTGCTTTTCCATGCTGTGTGCACTGATTTATGAAAGGGCATTTTATTGTGTTGATGGCCTGCGTGCAATTCTAAACCACACAACCTTAGTCAGAAATAACCTTTATCGAACATCAAACAGAGCAAATAAAACATGTTACTGTGCACATGTGAAACCAGTGGAATGTAAATCACAACATAAACAATGCACGCTTTATGGACCATAACTGTGCCAAAGTAGATCACCTGGTCCCAAACATGCACAGGTGCAGGGCTTCTGCCTGTTCTCGCCTGGGGGTGTAGAATGGCGAGGGGAGAAACTATCACGTGTAGTAGCAGGAGCGAAGGTGGGTCCCACGATCCACTGTTCTCTGTGTGTTGGAATATGGAGGGAATTGCCTGGAGCTGGAGGTTGGAGAAGGCTACTGCTACTCAGAACACCGGGCTCTCCACAGCCTACAGGAAACAGGTGGGACCATAGTACCAGAATGTTCTCCAGCACGACTGTCTGCTTGTGCCTTAACTCCAGCAGCTGCCTCTGCACGTACCTATCTTTCTCAGAGTCGTCCCTTGCCAAGTCTCTGTCCTCTCTCCACAAGGAGGCCTTCCTCCATCTTGTGTTCTTAACCCTCTTCTGGGACGCAGACAAAGTCCCCAGACGTTTCCTCTCTCGTCTTCCTTTTCTTGACCCAGAGATTTGCCCTATGTTCTGAAATTGATAATGTCCGGTTGGGGATGAGGGGAGGCAGCGAGTGCCGGAGCTGTGAAACAAGTAGGAGTTGTACTAATTCCAGTCTCCCGAGCAATGATATATGATGCTTTCCTCAATTTTGGATACCGCTCCTGGAGCCCTGCAACCTGACCTGGACCCACCTGCGAGAGTCTGGACAGGTCTAAAAACAACCCAACCCTCTCGGTCAGGTCTGGTCGGCTCTGATCCTCTCACTCCACAGCGTGCACAGCACAGTAAGGCAGTGGCAGTCGGCAGGAGCGGGGCTAACACCTGCTGCAACACTGATAGATCATGGGCACAGGAATCCCCTACCAGGCCGAGCCCCACGGACGAGGCAGCAGCAGCTCTAGCACAGGGTTGAGGGAGGAAGTGTCAGGTTTGAAAATGACTTTCTTGGGTTGGGTCCGGGTCCAGGTTGGACTTTAAAGTGAGGCTCAAGCAGATCTCTCTATCATTCCTGTAGGATCTCCCCAGTCTGGGGGGAGCTTGGAGACGGTTAGGCAGTTTTCAGTGAGGCTGATGACTGCGGGTATGAAGAGTTCAGAAAAATTGCAGCTGTAGAGCTTAAATTCTCTGGTGCAGATGCCATTTTGAGCACAGTGGTGGGAAAGGAGGGATGAAGTTTGTTAAACTCCCTTATAGAATTATGTTGTAATATATATAAAATATGTTGTGATATATCTTGACTTTAGCAAAACTTTTGATGATTATTCTTGCCAGCAAGTTAAAGTATGGATTGAATGAATGGACTATAAGGTGGATAGAAAGCTGGCTAGATTGTCGGGCTCAACGGCCCCTGATCAATGGTTCCATGTCTAGTTGGCAGCCGGTATCAAGCGGAGTGTCCCAAGGGTCGGTCCTGGGGCCGGTTTTGTTCAACATCTTCATTAATGATCTGGATGACGGGATGAATTGCACCCTCAGCAAATTTGCGGATGACACTAAGCTGGGGGGAGAGGTAGATATGCTGGAGGGTAGGGATAGGGTCCAGACTAACCTAGACAAATTGGAGGATTGGGCTAAAAGAAATCTGATGAGGTTCAACAAGGACAAATGCAGAGTCCTGCACTTAGGACAGAAGAATCCCATGCACTGCTACAGGCTGGGGTCCGACTGGCTTAGCGGCAATTCTGCAGAAAAGGACCTGGGGATTACAGTGGATGCGAAGCTGGATATGAGTCAGCAGTGTGCCCTGGTTGCCAAGAAGGCAAATGGCATATTGGGCTGCATTAATAGGAGCAATGCCAGCATATTGAGGGAAGTGATTATTCTCCTCTTATTCGGCACTGGTGAGGCCACATCTGGAGTATTGCATCCAGTTTTGGTGCCCCCACTACAGAAGGGATGTGGACAAATTGGAGAGAGTCCAGCAGAGGGCAACGGAAATGATTAGGGGGCTGGGGCACATGACTTATGAGGAGAGGCTGAGGGAACTGGGTTTATTTAGTCTGCAGAAGAGTGAAGGGGGATTTGATAGCAGCCTTCAACTACCTGAACGGGGGTTCTCAGTGGTGGCAGATGACAGAACAAGGAGTAATGGTCTCAAGTTGCAGTGGGGGAGGTTTAGGTTGGATATTAGGAAACACTATTTCACTTGGAGGGTGATGAAGCACTGGAATGGGTTACCTAGGGAGGTGGTGGAATCTCCTTCCTTAGAGGTTTTTAAGGCCCGGCTGATTTAGTTGGGGTTGGTCCTGCTTTGAGCGCAGGGGGTGGGACTAGATGACCTCCTGAGGTCTCTTCCAACCCTGATATTCTATGATTCTATGATAGCACGTACCACTCACTGGCAGTGATCTTTTCCCAGCACTATCTTGGTGGGAGTCCACTTGGGTGTTGGGAGACATCACTTCCTCAGACTCTTGTGTGGGAAAGAGATCCTGGGTTTGCTGGGAAATTTCCTCCTCACTGGAGTCCTGAT